GCAGAGAGTGGGTACGTGGCTGGGTCTTCAAGAAAGCAGCGAAGTTTTCCAGGCCTAAGTGTGTGGCCAGTTGGCATGGGCAAAGGGGAGGCAGGCGTCAGTGTGGCCAGCTGAAGGCTTCACGAAAGCCAGTACTGTGGATCATAGGGTGGTTTTCGTAAGTAAAAAACCACCATATAGCCATGTAACCTATTTTGTTTATTCTAATATTAGTGAAATTTGTGTACTCTTAATTTACATTAAATCCAGATTTCTCTGTTTAGTTTCTTTGTTCTAGATGCATTATGTAAAAAAAAATCTGGTAATCGGCCCCATTTGCTGCTTTGGCAAGACAGCCAGCCAAATCCATATAATCCATACTCTACCAGGAATCAGAAAGCAGTGCCTAGTGCTTTTATCCTGGGGTTAAGGTTCTCTCAGTGAAGAAGAAAGCCTGCTGTGCTGCTCTGAAGAGAGGGGAAGTGCAGGTTTTCCAGCACGGTGTGGGGCTGTGGTGCAGGTGCAGCCTGTGCCGTGTGTGTGGACAGAAGTAAATTGGGCCCTTCCCAAGGCAGCTGTCCCTCATTCATCGTCACTGGGTTTTGAGAATTTTTTGAAGTTGGGAAACTTTCAACTCTTCTTATTCAGAGGACAATTGTGTTATCAAAGGAAGGAATTTAACACAGAATCTGGCAGTAATTTTCAAATCAAAAACTGTTTTGGTTTTGTGTTAATTTCTTTAGAAACCTGATGTGCGGCTCTCCCGAGGCAGCATCGACAGGGAGGATGGAAGTCTTCAGGGTCCGGTAAGCAACGGCCTGAATTTTCACCAGGATTTGATTTCAGATTCTTATGTGCATGGACCATCATGTTTATATCATAAGATGTCTACCCTTACCAATAATTGTAATATGGTACACAGTAATCTATTCTGTAAAGTGAACATTTTAACTAAGATTAAGATTATTAACATATACGATGTACAGCCCAGAATTCTTATTGAAATGCGGAAATCTTTTGCCCCATTACTGATAACAGGCTTTTTTAGTAGTAAGCCCAACTCTGTATGACCTAAAGAAATATGTACATATATTAAGTGTTGTTACACACAGGTTGTCATTTGCTAAGTTTTTATGCTCTTATTGCATCGTTATAAAAGTTTCCACAGTCACATAAAACTTATTCAAGGAAGATTTTGTCTTCCGGGTGTTATGGGGAGAAATGCCTGAAATTCTCTTTTAAAGAGCTAGCTTATGATTATTCCAAATATTAGAAATATTCCCTGGTGTTTGAAGGAAAGTAATTTAAATTGTTTTGTCAGGATTTCCACCATCCACCATCAGATATCTGTTTAAAATAAAGGCAGATTTCTTTAAACATTTACTGTGCATGTCAGGTAGAGATAACTACGTTCTATGCTAGTAAGGGTGAAACCACTTGAGTTGACATCTAGTCACACATACATGCATACAACTATCAACACTTATCTTAAACCCTTTTAAACATTTTTCTGTATAAAACAACAGAATTTTGAAATAAAAATGTGCTAAATGTTTTCTAGGTCTTTCCATAACAAGCCTCTTTAAATGGAATGTAGCACCGACCTTAATCACAATTTTATGTACTCATGAAGACTATGTCATTACCTAGTTCCAAGATGCATATTATGGAATGGCCCTAACCAGGAATTTTTCCCAATCTGTACTATAAAAGTACATCTGCCTCAAGATCTTACACCTAGAAAGTTTCCCAGTTAGTAGCATGTGAAGGTTGGGCATTTCCCATTAGAGCTTGGCTCACTGGGCTCTATAGATAGTGCGTATCAGACATTCTTCAGTTTATAAGCAAGGAGGTCACATTATCGGCCATTTAACATCTCACTGAGCTTCCTTATGTTGAAAAGACTAATGTTTAACAAGCATTCAGTCCTAAATTGTTGAGAAGGAACCAAAATTAGCATGAAAATAAATTCTGTTCAAGAGATTAGCTATTTTAGAACATTGCTAATGGGAAATTTGTTAGGTAAGGAAAATTATTTGTGTTCCAGTATGTGGCACATACTGAACTCAGAAAATATGTAGAGCGAATTAATTAATTAAACCTGGATACAAGCATTATTCAGAAATGCTTTATTAATAAGAACTTGTAAGACAGTGAGATGAAATGTGATGACCCCACCTGTGATCTCCCAGTCTGCTGAGTGCCAGGCCTAGGCAGTAAGAGTTCTTAGTACTGACTGAGAACCTGCTTAGTACTACAAGGTGCTATACTAAGTACTCAAATCACTCCTGACAAATCAGGCACTGTTGTAATCCAGGTTTCACAAATAAGTAGACTGAAGCTCAAAGAAAACTTGCCCAAGGTCCCCTGTTGCAGAGCCAGAGGTCAGACAGTGTGTTTATGCACATGTGGCCAAACGCATGTCGCCGGCCGGGCTCAGCGGGCCTCCCTCATTTCCTTCCTAGAGACCATTACACACCATGACTGTTTCTGGGTTTTTTTCTCTTTTGCTCTTTCCTAAAGATAACAATTTAGTTTTGGCCCATTTGTTGAAACACTCCAGCTTTAACACTTTTGAAAATATGCCACAGTTTCAAGGAAAACCTTTTGGCTAGAAAACAATGTAGATTATATATGGATGTGAAGTAGTAGTAAATATTACTAACAGGCTAGTGGAAAATTGATTCCATCAGTTTGCATAAAAAGTAAACACCTATTTGGACTTTAATATACAAGTTGACAGCATGTTCATTTTGTGGCAACCCAGTTTTAGGTGAGTGTAATTAGCCTCAGTTTACCAAGGCCCCAAACAGGTCCATGACTCTGCCAAGGCCACAGGCGGATACCCGCAAAACCATGAGCACAGCTTAGCTCCAGACGCTCATCCTGTCGGACTTTTGAAGCAAGGGCTTTCCTTTTCTGTGCCTGCCATTCAAGAGCAGAACCTGCATAACTTGTTGTACATGCACACACATTCTAGGTTATTCCAAAATGGTTGAATAGGATTTTCTAGTTAATTGAACTTTCTTGTTATCTAAGTATCAACCAGAAAATTCTTTGTATTTTAAACCTTTTTAGATGTGTATGGGATTTACTGCCTGGATCAGTGAGCATAGCATAGCCAAGAGACTCTTTTTTTTTCCCCTGACCACACTTTCACCAGTCTCTGCCCTCACTCATCCTCTCTAGCTATACTAGCTGCCTCACTGTTACCCAGACACTTGGTTTTTCCCTATTTGGGGCTCCCTCCCTGACCACTCTTCTCCCAGATTGCTGCAAGACTTCTCTTAACCTCAGATCTGTGCTCAAAGATCACCTTCTCAAAAAGCCTGAATTTCCTGCTTAAAACTGTAGCTCCTCCCCTCCCACCCTCAGCCATCTTCTGACACCTCCTTTCTTTGTTGGAGACAGCACAAAATGTACTGTAATATATGCTTATTATTTGTCTCCGTCTACTACACTGTTAGCTCCACAAAGGTAGGATCTTTGTTGATCGTACACCTAGAACAGTGCCTAGAACAAAACAGCTGTTTGACAGTTTTTTGTTGAATAAATGAATGGTGTGAAAATTGTATATTAAATAGAAAGCACTGCACAATACATAGTAAGTTGCTAAGGAATAGTTCTTCACACCTTCAAGCTCTGAGGGTTTTTAAAGTCAAAGGTGTTAAATGGCAGGTTGAAAACAACTCGGATTCTGGGGAGAAGAGCAATTTTAATTGTGTGTTATTTCATAGCCCTTGTAGTCTAAAGAAGTGGATCTTTTTTCAATAGAAGATGAAGGCACCTTAAATTATGTGTATTAATCACTTCATTATTTTTAAGTAAGCAAGAAAAGTCTTTCTTTTCAGAAGTGTAATATATTTCTAAAAAGATTTTTTTTCCCATGTAGTTAGCCACAGAAAGTTATAAGGTTTTTGTGTGTTTTTGTTTTTGAGACAAAGTCTCACTCTGTCGCCCAAGCTGGAGTACAGTAGTACAATCATAGCTCACTGCACCCTCAGGACACCCTCCTGTCCTGAAGCAATCCTCCTGCCTCAGCCTCACAAAGTACTAGGATTATAGATGTGAGCCAGTGTACCTAGCCAGAAAGATTATTTTAAATGTAATTTCTGGCATGACAACCTGAAGTAGGACTGGTCCTAAGTGGAACTGTCTTTTTATCCTGTCCTTGGGGCAGAAATAATAAGCTGTAGGTTGGCTTCTCTAGGTTGGCCTGAAACTGATGAAGGTGTTACACTAGGTAGGTCCTGATATACACAGTGATTCATGACAATAACAACATAGGCCCATGGGATATCTACATGCCTGGTGCTACCAAGCCCCTTCCCGTCATCATTGTTCTGGTTGTACCCCTTATCCCATCTGGTTGTACCCCAGCCCAAAGCCTAGTTGGGAACCTGGGAAGGAGTGTCCTGAGCCCTGGGAAGGCCTGGGATTTGAAACCCCTTAGAGCTACATTGGAGACATCTGTGTAAGAACTTTTTCTTTTTTTTTTTTTTAAGACAGGTTCTTGCTCTGTCACCCTGGCTAGAGTGCAGTGGTGTGATCATAGCTCACTATAGCCTTGAACTCCTGGGCTCAAGAGATTCTCCTGCCTCAGTTTCCCAAGTAGCTGGGACTATAGTCACACGCCACCACACCCAGCTATTTTTAGATTTTTTGTAGAAATGGAGCCTCGCTATGTTGACCATGCTGGTATCAAAACTATTGGCCTCCCATAGTGGTGGAGTTACAGGCATGAGGCACCGTGCCTGGCCCAAGAACATTCTAAATTGGTTGTGACCACCTCTGTGTTCCCAAAGTATCCCATACTTGCTTCTGTCACAGCCCTTTCCATGCATCCTGTTGGCATCATTTGCTAATTCACCTGGTCCTTCAAGGCAGGACCCTGCCTTGTTCATCTTGATACTGCAGCATGTAGCCCAGAAGTTCAAGGGGGTGAATGGACAGGGTGGAGAGGTGGGTCATTACCCCATTGTACACACCAGTGCATTGACTGAGCTTTTCTTTTCCCACAGACTGGAAACCAACACATATATCAGCCTGTGGGTAAACCAGGTAAATGAAGAGATGAATTGTGTGTCAAGAAGTTTGTACAATTTGGTTGGAGCAGGTTTTGAATGTATGTAATATTATAGCTTTGGAATGCCTTCATGATTATTTAACAGTTTTCCCTCTGTAGACCACAGCAAGTATGAAGTTTACCACATTCTGCTCATGATGGGAATATTGGGAAAAAGAATTTATTGCTGTAATGCATCAGAAATGCCTCCTAGAGTGCAAGATTAGTGTCTTCTGTAAGAATGCCAATAGGCATTTGTTTGGAAGTGGTTTCCTTTCTCTTTATTAACACACATTACTTAATGGGAATCATTCCTTTTTACCAGATCCTGTAGCTCCACCAAAGAAACCGCCTCGCCCTGGAGCCCCTGGTCATCTGGGCAGCCTTGCCAGCCTCAGCAGCCCTGGGGACAGTTACAACGAGGGCGTCAAGGTGGGCATCTGAGCCTGGGCAGCACACACTGCCGCAGGGCTTGTGGGTCCCTTAGTTCTTGGTTAATGATGTTTGTGTCTTAGAGTGGAGGCCAGGTTGAAAACAGGGATGAGGCAGAGTGGGACTGCAGTGTGATCCAGGAGTTAATGAGCCTGGTTCTGAACCCCTCTGAGAGTCAGGGAGAAGCTTAATGCAAACATTTTCTTTCCCATTTTTCTCTCAGTAAGATAGATTTTAGACAATCAGTCGGATCCTAATATTCTGCATACATCTTCTTCTGATCAGACAGAATGTTTCTTTAGAATAAAATCCTGAGATTGCTTCTGGTTTTAAAAATTAATTAAACCAGAATGGCTGGGATAAATGAGAACCTTTTGTAGGCTCACTGGCTCCAAATTTATAAGTGTGATTTCATGGAAAGTTTCATTATTTTCCATCTAGTGTCAGAATTGATTTGTAAAAGCAACAGATGCTAAATAGAGGCATCCTCAGACCAAGGGGAGTGTTTAACTCAGGCACAAACTACCACAAGCTTCTCCTTGGTTTGGGATGCCTCTTCAGTCACTGCCTGCCCCTGAGGGGTGTGCATCTGGAGCTGTCAGTGTCTGACTCTCATGGGTCCCCAGTCACCCCTCCAGAGTGATGGAGTCACTAGAGCAGCTTTGGAGCAGCCTTCCTCTCTGGGAGAAGTAAGGAAAGGAGATGCTTCTCTTCCAGCCTGGCTCATTGAAGGAGATTTGAGATCTTTTTACTTGCCACTAGTGATAACAATTTATCTCTCAAAATATATCTTATTTCTCAATACTGATGTACCCCTTTTTTCACATTTTAATATCTCTAAAATTTGTATGGTATCTGGGCTTAATTGGCAATATTTTTGTGTGTGTGTCCTAGTAGTACCTTTAAAAAATGGTGCATTTTAAAATCTGAAAAAAAATGATCTCAGGTTAAGATAAACTTTATTTTACCAGTAACCGCCATTTATTAAGTGCCTTCCCTGTGCCAAGTGCTATGACAGACCTTTTTCGTGTATTTTATATTCTTGCATCAACCTAACAAGATTGATGGTCGTATCACTTTTCATATGAGATAAAGGTTCACAGAGTTTAAACATCTTGTTAAAGGTTACACAGCCTTCATGTAGCTGAGCCAGCATTTAGCCATAGGCCTGGCTGACTGTACACTTGACTTGTGTGCTTCTACTCAGAGGTTTCCACTTCCAAAGCCAACCCTGGCTGATTCTTGGTTAGAAGTAAATATACTATTGGCTTCTCAGAGGAGTCAGAGAATCAGTCATAGGGAAGAGAGAATATCATCTCTAGGCCCAGGGTGATAGCCTGCAACAGAGTACAGAGGTTTGCCAGTGTTCATTCTGGAGATGATCAGAGAGTAAATGGGCTGGCACTGGCATGGACTAGCCTGCTCCCTATGGGGCATAGAGCAAGTACAACTGGGTTAGAGATGCTCCAGGCCTCTACTACCAGCCACTCAGGATACTGAGGCAGGAGGATTGCTTGAGCCCAGTAGTTCAAGTCCAGCCTGGAAAACATGGCAAGACCCCATCTCTTCTCTTTAAAAAAAAAAAAGAAGGGGGACAATTAGGTTAATGAATTTTTTTCATTTTCATAAGCCATAAGAGCAAACTTTCAAAATGGCTTTTATTATCTGTTTGGTTGAGTTTACTGAATCCAGCCTGAAAGAACAATATTGTTTTAATACCAAAATGCTTACATTTAACTATGTATAACTAAAATAATTCATCCAAATAAGATTTAGTCAGACATAAGTCTCAGTTTTTCCTTGGTAGCTTCATGTTTTGGTTCTTAATTCTCTTAGTCTTTAAGCAGTAACTTTTAAGTGGTTGGAATTGGCTCTGCCTATGGAGAGTGGTGTTTTTATCATTAACTCCCTGCCAAGGAATTTCCAAGTTGTCAAACTCCAGAAAATAGGAAACCAATAGGATGTCTCTCCAAACTGAGATTTTACTTCTGGAATGTCAGTGTGAATGGTCCCTAGAAACATCATGACAGTACCCTTCTATGACAAGAATTAGGCAAAGGGTAAAAGTACAAAAGCTTTAAACAGGTTAAAATAAACTTCACTCCACCTCCCTAGAGTTATAGAATTCTTGTATTTTTTCTTGATGGAGCTCACCCTGTGGCACCCTCTTCAGAAAACCCTGTTGCTTTTTGTGTTAATGTAGTTTGAACTGGCACATCCTGCAGGGTGAAACAGAAGACCACCATTACTCTCAGTGCAGAAAATAAAATACGAGAAGAATAATCTTGTATCGTATAGTAATCTTCTCGTATCGTAAAAGAATCTACTTTTAATAAGTAGATAATAATTTATTTGCAATTCATCCATATAAAAAAAAAACCACTTGTATACACTAAATCTATTTGAATTAAAAAAAACCAAACCAAAAAATTTATTCAACTTACCAGAAGTTAAATTAAAACAGCAAATGAGAGAATAATTTTTGCCAGTTGGTTTCATAGAAATTGAAGACTGATTGCCTTCAGTTTTTATAATGCAGAGAAAACTGGCACTTTTGTACATTGTCATCTGGCTCTATCAGAACTTAAACTGCACATATTCTTTGGGGAACCTAGCATACATAAAGAAAATCATGGTATAAAATGATAAATAATTAAATCGAATTATCTGGGGGGAGAGGGGGAAAGCAGCATGAATATCAAGGGGGGAATGGTTGAACCCATTACAGTACAGTCATGTGTCACTTAACAATGGGGATACATTATTGAAAATGCATCATTAGAGGATATCATCATTGTGCCAACATCAGAGTGTGCATACACAAACCTAGATGGTATAGCCTACTGCAGACTTACGCTAGTATATGGTATAGCCTACTACTCCCAGGCTACAAATGTGTACAGTATGTTGTTCTGCTGAATACTATAGGCTACTTTGTTTTTTAGAAAAGCTCCTAATGTTTTTAAATGCAGCCCTAATACTAGAAATTGTTATTGTAGTGAAAATGTCCATTGTAAGTTTAACAAATACAATAATTGGATGATAGCAGATGTAATAATTAGATGATAGACAAAACCTTCCAAATAACATAGATTATTCAAAATATTGCTGTCATCTAAAATGTAAAATCCCAATTAACCTCAAGTGCTGTATAGCATAAAATTAAATTCTTATTAGAAAAGAAAAAAATTTCAATAAAGAATGAAGCCATGAAAAATAAGTAAATAAAATAAAATAAATGCAGCCTCAAGCCAGGAATCTTTATTATGGCAGGAAGGCTAGATGACAAAGCAGGCTTCCAAGGATGTTGAGGGGTCAGGGCATGGGAATTGAGGGTTGTGCAGTTTCCCCTGAATCTCAGAATTCAGATGGACAGGCTTTAGTAATTAAAAACATACATCCTCCTCTTTTCTCTTTGAAGAGCCCTAATTCTGTTGATCTTGCACTGCTGCTGGACTGTTCCTCTCAGGCTTTGCATGTTGCTCTCCCCGCGTGTCGTGTGAGAGCCAGCATGGTGCATGGCAGGCCTCCACTCTGCGTGCTGGACACGGAGCCGAGGGCGAGCAGCTGCGCCTCGGAGCCAGCGAGATGAGAAGCAGGGAGGCAGGCTTGGAAACTAGCTTCTTTTTGTTCTGCTCATGTGTTTTTATGGGGGTTTTGTCTGACGCCTTTATTAATATTGTTTTTCTTTTTTCCCTTTCTCTGATAAATTCCTTTAACTTTTCCTCACCTTCCGTTCGACAATAGCCGTGGAGGGTAAGCACATTGTGTCTCTGTGTGTCTGTCCAGCTCTCTTTATTACACCCAGCTCTCTGCATGTGGCTCTGGACCAGAAAGCAGGAGGCCCAGTGGGAGGGCACTTCTGCTTGGTTCATGGTCTCTTGTGACTGACAGATGCCAAAAACTGCAAATCTGTTCACCAAAAAATGAGATATAAACATCTTCACAATGATTGTATGATTCCTGTCCTTCCCTTATATCCAAATTTTTGAACAACAAAGAAGAGAATTAATCTATTCCAGACTACTTGGGCAAAGGCACCTGAAGGTTCAGAAATGGGCATTTGCAGTTTTAGACTGAGCACTAGCAGCAAGTTCATCATTGAACACCTGTTATGTACTGCAATTTAGTCTTTTTTAAAATACACACACATACAACACTGTCATCTCTGTGCCTAGCGCATTTGAATTTTTAAATACTGCTGAAGATTTCCCAAAGGCCCTTATTCCACCATTAGTTCTCAGGTTGTCTTGGGTAACATTTGTTGATGTCCCCTCTGTGCCCAGGACCTGGGTGTGCATTTTTACATCTGTGGCTTCATCTCCCCTCATCACCATTGCCCGAGTGAGGGCACTGAGGTTTGTCCAGTGTAGGCCCAGGTACAGTCAGCGCAGAGCTGGCTGAAGCCAGGTTCTGGCAGGGAGGCTCCTGGCAACACCACCACTGCTTTCACTTCAGTCAAGCTCTGCAAGCAATTGCTGTCTGCTTAAAGCAGACTTGAGTCTGTGAGCTTTTTGTAATCATAAAATGATGGCACATTTCCATTAGGTAGTTTGAGGGCAGCTAAGCTGAGCCATACAGTTTTCCTGCAGAATTCAAACTAAGTAGAAATTTTTAGTCTTAGAATGTTTGACTCTTTAGCCAAGTAAGTTACTTTTTCTAAAATTCACTAAGTGCTCAGAGAGGTGTAAAGTATATGGATTATTTCTCTTGTGGTGAATGATTTGGGGGTGAGGGGACATTGAATCATTTCTTTGAAAGAATCTGGGATTTTTAGGATAATGTGTATGATTCCATATCATTTCCTTTAACTGAGCTCAAAGTGAGAAAAAATTATTGCCTCAATTAATTGTCACTCAGAGGAATTACTGTCATCCTCAAACTGAACTGCATCCCATATAAATAAAAAAACCCAATTATCTTATGCAGTCTACTTTGATCTCTTTTAAAGACTGAGCTCTCTAAGTTAATTGTGGTGATATCATGCCATCTACTGGAAAATAGGAAAATGACCAGCTTCTGTATTGTCAGCTGCAGCCCCAGGAAATCAGCCCCCCTCCTACTGCCAACCTGGACAGGTCCAATGACAAGGTGTATGAGAATGTGACAGGCCTTGTGAAAGCTGTCATCGAGATGTCGAGTAAAATCCAGCCGGCCCCGCCAGAGGAATATGTTCCTATGGTGAAGGTAAAACACAGTTACGTTGTGTACCAGCAGAAATGTTGATCCCTGTGGAAGATGTGGTACCAGTTGCATCACTCAGGAGTTATTACTATCATCCTCGAACTGTATCCCATACAAATAAAAAAAAAACAATTATCTTATGCAATCTACTTTGATCTCTTTTGAGAGGCCAAGGTAGGAGAATTACTTTACTCTAGGAGTTTCAGATCAGCCTGGGCAACACAGCAAGACTCCCATCTCTCTTATAAAAGTGTTTTTAAAAATTAGACAGCTGTGCGTGGTGGCTCATATCTGTAATCCCAACAACCTAGGAGACGAGGTAAGAGGATTGCTTGAGGTCAGGAGTTTGAGACCAGCCTGAGCAAGAGTGAGACCCCATCTCTACAAAAAATAGAAAAATTAGCCAAGTATGGTGGTGCACGCCTGTAGTCCTAGCAACTTGGGAGGCTGAGGCAGGAGGATCCTTGAGCCCAGGACTTTAAGGCTGCAGTGAGCTGTGATCACACCACTGCACTCTGGCCTGGTAACAGAGCCAGAACTGTCTTTTTAATTTTTTTTTAAAGAAGTAAAAATTACTCCACTAAACTAACATTCCCCAGATTGTATTCAGTGGATTGGGTCCTGGGAGACAGTAACAGTGCTCTGTGAGAAAGGATGCTAGGTTCAGGAAACTTTAGCAGTGCCTTCTGCTAAGGAGTGTACACTGGCACTTTGGATACACAGAGGTGTCCTGCAGTTCAAAGAGTGTTGTTAATAAACTTTGCTCTAAGCCAGTACTTTTGAAACTTACTTGAACACACTTTTTTCTATTTGTGGTAAAAATACACATAACATAAACTTCACCATCTTAACTATTTATTTTTTATGTATTTATTTTTTAGAGATGGAAGTCTTACTTTGTTGCACAGGCTGGTCTTGAACTCTGGGTTCAAGTGCTCCTCCCACCTTAGCCTCCTGAGTAGCAGATATAGGCACGGGCCATCTCGCCTGGCACCATCTTAACCATTTAAGTGTACGTTTCAGGTGCATTAAATAATGCACATGCACATTATTGTGTGGTCATCAAAACCATCCAACTCCAGAACTTTTTCCTTGCAACACTAAAACTGTTACCCATTAAACATCAACTCTCCATTTCCCCTTCCCCAAGGCCCTGGAAACCCCCATTGTACTTTCTGTCTCCATGAATTTGACTACTCCAAGTACCTCATAAGTAGAATCACACTGTATTTGTCTTTTTGCAACTGAATTATTTTACTCAGCATAATGTCCTCAAGGTTCATGTATGTTGTACCATGTGTCAGGATCCCATTCCTTTTTAAGGCTGAGTCATATTCCACTGTGTGTATTCCACATTTTGTTTGTATGTTCATCAATCAGTAGATACTGGGTTGTTTCTACCTTTTGGTTATGCATAATGCTGCTGTGAACATGGGTGTACAAATACCTCTTTGAAACCATGCTTTCAATTCTCTTGGGTGTATACCCAGAAGTAGAATTGCTGGATCATATGGCAATTCTATTTTTTTATTTTCTGATTATCCGCCATACTGTTTTACACAGCCGCTGCCCCATTTGACGTTCCTACCAACAGTGCACAAGGGTTCCTGTTTCTCCATATTCCCACCAGCCCTTATTATTTTCTGGGGGATTATTTTGGGATTTGAGTTTCAGGTTTTGGGGGTTTTTTTAACAGTAGTCATCCTATTAGGTGTGAGGTGGTATCTCATTGTGGTTTTTAAATTTCAAATGCAGATATTGAGTAACTTTTTACATGCTTTTTGGCTATTTTGTATGTCTTCTTTGGAGAAATGTCTACTCAAGTTTTTTGATTGGGTTGTTTTTTTGTTTTGTTTTTTGGGTTTTTTTTTTTTTTTGAGACAGAGTCTCACTTTGTTGCCCTGGCTAGAGTAAGTGGCGTGGCGTCAGCCTAGCTCACAGCAACCTCAATCTCCTGGGCTCAAGCAATCCTGCTGCCTCAGTCTTCCAAATAGCTGGGACTACAAGCATGCGCCACCATGCCTGGCTAATTTTTTTGTATATATATATTTTAGTTGGTCAATTAATTTCTTTCTATTTTTAGTAGAGACAGGGTCTCGCTCAGGTTGGTTTTAAACTCCTGACCTCGAGTGATCCACCCGCCTCGGCCTCCCAGAGTGCTAGGATTATAGGTGTGAGCCACGGCTCCCGGCCTGGGTTGTTTTTTGTTGTTGTGCTATAGGATAAAACACTCTTTTTTAGTATACCAATTAACAGTCTTTATAACAGCTTCTTATTAATATAAATGCTCAGTGTGGAAAAAGCTGCTTGAGAGTTGTGATGTTTTATGTAAAGCACATTGAATCCATTCTGGTTCATTTTTTTAACTGTACTCCCATAGCAGTTATAACCACAGGTTTTAAGGATGAACTTGCCTAAACCCACAGCCAAGTTTCAAAAAATTCAACAATAGCAAAAGCATTCAGAATTTTGTACACATTAAGATTTTATATAGTGCTTTTATAGAAGCTACTTTTTTAACCATATTAATTTGGCCAAATGACACTTTTTAATGCTGATGCAAGTATAAATAACTATCATTTTCTAGCTGGTTTTATTCGTATTATGTGTATAATTTGGTGTTTTAGTCAGAATGACAATAATCAAATTTAAATCAAATTTAAAGTTTAAAATTAGAATGTTTTTAATCATAGTTAGACCCATTGCTGCTCAGAAATGTCAAGGGAGGAGTGCTTTTGCTCATAATGGAGGAAGTATAAGATTCAGAGTAGGTTCCAAATCAAGGCTCCACTTTGCACCTGGGGCAGTGGGGTCATGAGACTTTTGAAAGCACCTGAGAGAAAACAAATCCAGTGAACACACTTGGGGAAAGGTGCCACCATTTACCCTGACCTGTGTTGGCAGAGTGGGCATTTTGGAGCCAGGCGAGTGGTGTAATCTGTTAGGAAGCACTAGATGAGAAGAAAGAGAAAAAGTCCTTTCTACCCTCAACATCTGTTTGACTGTTCTTCAGTGAGCTTCTATTCTTTAGCCCATTCCTTAGGAAATTAGAGCTATGAGAAGTAAAATCTAAATCTTTTTGGGGGGAAAGCCTTATAACTAACTTACAAGATGGGATTCAGCACTGAGGAAAAGAAATACAGAAGTTTTCTTTGAAACTGGTGGATAGGATACAAACTATATAACTGAAAGGGAAAATTATCAGTGTTGGCATGAAACTCCTTTTTGTGTCCTCTAATATTGGTTGTGATTCTTATCACAGGAAGTCGGCTTGGCCTTGAGGACTTTATTGGCCACTGTGGATGAGACCATTCCCACTTTACCAGCCAGCACCCACCGAGAGGTAGGGCACAGTCTCTCTCTTGCTGCTCTCTCTGCTAGTACTGGGTGGGGACATACCCAGGGATGGCTGTGGTGCTGACAACATCTCCTCAGTTGGCGACCAGCAGAGGCTTTGACTGCCCTGCAGGCAATGACCTTCCTGCTGGTGCTGGCCCCAGCCAGGACTGGGCCATTCATCTTACAGCACAGAGGTGGTGTGGAGCGGCACCCAGATCTCAGGTTCAAGATCTCGGCCCTACCACTGTCAGCCCTCTGCAGAGCCATCATAAGGGTCCTCACCTGAGACACAGGGTGGCTGTGAGCACTGGACAAGGGAAGCACTTTGGAAGTTGCTGGAGCTGCTGTGGGGCTCAGAGTGGAAGGTGCTAAGATGAATGGGGTGGGCATCGTATCTCCTGCCTTATATTCTTTTTAAGGAATCAAAGTTCACCCAAGACACTGTCTCCCAGCAACAGTCATCATTTTGCCACGTTTTGACAATTTTACTTCATTTATATGACTAAGGAAGCACCTGCATTTGTTTACTCCAGTCTAAAGGCGGGCACTCTGGGGTGGAGTTGGACATATGTGGGTGGGTGCATCCCCACTGAGAAGTCCCAGGTCTGCAGGCTGCAGCCTCCCTCCTTTCCAACTCCAGCTGTCCACCCTTCTCCCTTCTCTCTAGAGCTGCGTGGGCACTGCTTTTTGTTGTTGTTGTTCTTATATTTTGAAATTATTTCAAAGTTACAGAAAAGTTACAAGACCAACAGAGAGAATTCCTAAATTTCCTTGACTAGTTTTTAACATGTCAGCACATTTTCATTCTCTCTCTACATTGTCTGTGTAAGTACACAAACATCACTTACTGTTTCTGAGCCATTTGAGAATAGGCTGCCTATATCCTGCCCCTCACCCTTTAATATTTCAATTTACATTTTCTGATAATAAGGCCATTTTCCTACATAACCACTAGTCGCCATGTTCCAGAACCTTGGCACTGATGCAGCACGCTCTGCCGCTCTGCAGGTCGTGTGTGGTGTCGGCAGTTGTCCCGTAGTGCTTTCCTTCTCATATGAGAGCCAGCCCAGGATCACACGTCGCATGTCCTGTCTCTTCGGCCTCCTTCCATCTGGAACAGTTCTTCATCCTCTGTCTTTCATGACATTGACATTTTTGACAAATAAGGCTCAATTATTTTATAGAGTATTCTTAAAGTTAGGTTGAGGGATATTCTATAAAAATCAGTGTTTTTTCCTGGTTAGACTGATGTTTTGCATCTCCAGCTGGGAATACTACATAAATGATGTTGAATCCTTCTCAGGATATCACATCCAGAAGCACGTGATATCCGGGTAATGTTCCTTTTGATGAACTGGGCATTGATTACTGCAGGACAGTTGGATGCGGTTACTGTTGGTGGCTTCTTTGTAAATGGCATCAATTCCCCTACATAAAACCATTTAAAGCATTTTAGAAATGCCCCTGACTAGTTGCCACAGTACAACGTTAAATTCCTAGCAAAACAGGGAATTAGCTCATCTACTTGTTTCATTGGGACTTTGGTTGGTTTTCCATCATGAGCATCAATTTTGCCTAAAAGTGGAGAGGTTCCATATACTGGAAGCAAGAAAACGGTGTCTTAACAAGTGGGTGTTTTGGCAGGACCATCTGTCAACACCTACTCTGGCTGATAAAGCCTAAAGTAATCTATCTGCCCTGATTCTTTTTTTTTTTTTTTTTTTGAGACAGAGTCTCGCTTGTTGCCCAGGCTAGAGTGAGTGCCGTGGCGTCAGCCTAGCTCACAGCAACCTCAAACTCCTGGCTCAAGCAATCCTGCTGCCTCAGCCTCCCAAGTAGCTGGGACTACAGGCATGCGCCACCATGCCCGGCTAATTTTATATATATATTAGTTGGCCAATTAATTTATTTCTATTTATAGTAGAGACGGGGTCTCGCTCTTGCTCAGGCTGGTTTCGAACTCCTGACCTCGAGCAATCCGCCCGCCTCAGCCTCCCAGAGTGCTAGGATTACAGGCGTGAGCCACCGCGCCCGGCTTGCCCTGATTCTTATACACACAGATTGCTCTCCTGTATAAGTTACATATTTTTTAAGTATTATTTTTTTAAAAGAAGAAGAGCCTTTCTTCCCACTGTTCCCTTCCCACTGTCTCCCTCCCTCCCCCTACCCCACCGTGCTTCCTGAAAGAGCAGCCCTTCCCTGGCAGCCACACCCCGTCCCTGCTCCCAGCCCTCTAAGGAATCTGTCTCCTCTAATTGCCTTTTGAGGTCTCCAGAGGCCTCCCAATTACCAGGTCCTTGCTCCCCTGTCCTGACTCCTCCTTGAGAGCCCTGCCTTGGATCCAGAGCCTTCCTCACTCAGTCATCTCCTGCTGAGACCCCTACCTTGGCTCTTGTTTTCTGCCACTCTTGAGTGTGGTTATCCCCCAGGGTGCTACCACTTGCTTTCTTTTTCTTTTTCTTTTTTGAGATGAAGTTTCACTCTGTTGCCCAGGCTGGAGTGCAGTCACAGCTCACTGCAGCCTTGAACTCCTGCGCTCAAGTGATCCTCCCGCCTCAGCCTCCTGAGTAGCTGGGACTGCCAGTATACACCACCATGCAAGGCTCTCCACTTGTTTTCTTGAAGAATACTTTCTCACTTCCTTAATCCTTCCCACTTCCATAGATTCAAGTATTTGATTCCTCCCACATCTCTGATCTCTAATCTCTACCTGTCTGTTATTGGCAGGAATAATGTACTTTTCCTCGTTTCCATAGTCAGTACCACCATGCACTCACCACTCCTGCCCCATCAACTCCCTGCATACACAAACAGCCTTATATCTTCCATCACTTATCAGGTCTCAGATTGGTCCTCTTTACCCTCACAGCCACCTTCACCTCTGCCCTGGATTGCCATGGTGACTTTAGACTGTTTCTCTGCCTCTTGTCTCTCCCCTACTTGTTTTTTTTTTTTTTGAGACAGAGTCTCGCTTTGTTGTCCAGGCTAGAGTGAGTGCCGTGGCATCAGCCTAGCTCACAGCAACCTCAAACTCCTGGGCTCGAGCAATCCTTCTGCCTCAGCCTCCCGAGTAGCTGCGACTACAGGCATGCACCACCATGCCCGGCTAATTTTTATATATATATATCAGTTGGCCAATTAATTCCTTTCTATTAATAGTAGAGACGGGGTCTCGCTCTTGCTCAGGCTGGTTTTGAACTCCTGACCTTGAGCAATCCGCCCGCCTCGGCCTCCCAGAGAGCTAGGATTACAGGTGTGAGCCACCGCGCCCGGCCCTCTCCCCTACTTCTGTTCGACTTCTACACGGCTACCAGAGCCATCTTTCTATAACATCTCTCCAGATTATGTCATTCCCCTTCCTAAATATCTCTTATGCCTTCCCATTGCCAAGTTCAACAGGATAACAGTCAACTTGGCATAGCTTATGATGCCCTTCACAGTTGAGCCAGCCTACTGTTACTGACTAGGCCAGATTCAGACAGGTGCTCTTTTGTGAAGTTTCCTGATCCTCTGAGACAGAAGGAGTTGCCCTCTGCCCTGTGTGCCTTCCCACTGTATGAGTTATTCCAGTGTAGTATAGGGGCTCCTGTGCATGCTGCTCCCCCTCCAGACTATGAGTATGAACATGTCTAATTCCTTCTTGTGTCTGCAGCACCAAGCGCCTTGTACATATGAAGTGGCCAATAATTGATAAAGGAGCAAATGGATAAATCATCATTGGTTAAATAAATAGATAAGGAAGATCATGAGACTCTGTCATGCAAAGCATTCTCACCCTATAGGGCAGAATCTCTAGCTGCTTCCACCACTACTACCCCACTTCCAACCTCTGATAAGTTTGGAAGAGTCTGGAGCTTACAACAAGGCAGGGCAAGGGTGTCCCATGACATCCTTAAACCATTTCTCGCATAGCAAAGGGGAAGGTCTTAAGATGGAATTGACATAGTAGAAAAAGCACGAGACTGGAGACTGACAAGCTGTGTGGCCTTCATCGGCTACTCTACATCTCAGTTGTCCACTTTCGGATGTGAGAGTGTTTGGACCAGATGATCTCTGAGATTCTGTCAGATTCTATGATTCTGTTATGAAACAAAAGCCCTACCAGTCACTGAGATTAATAAAGTCTAGCTGGGTGTGGTGGTACATGCCTGTAATCCTAGCACTCTGGGAGGCTGAGGCAGGAAGATCGCTAGAGTTTGAGACTAGCCTGAGTAAGTGAGACCCCATCACTACAAAAAAATAGAAAAATTAGCACATGTGGTGGCATGCATCTATAGTCCCAGTATTCTGGTGGCTGAGGCGCAAGGATCACTTGAGCCTAGGAGTTCTGGGCTGTAGGGCACTATGCCGATCAGGGGCCTGCACTAAGTTTAGCATCAATATGACCTGCTGGGAAAAGGGGCCCACCAAGTTGTCTAAGAAGGGATAAAATGGCTGGGGCCAGAAATGGAGCAGGTCAGAACTCCAGTGCTGATCAGTAGTGGGATCGTGCCTGTGAATAGCCACTGCATTCCAGCCTGGGCAACATAGCAAGAACCCATCTCTAAAGAAAAGAAAGAAATTCTAAACAGTGATCACAAAATGTAGAGTCAGTCAGTCATGGTATCAGGAAGGGCTTTGAATGGAAGGAACCCGGACTGCTAGGTGTGTGTGCACAGGGGCACGCACAGGCACACTACGCTGGCTGAGTTTCTAAGTGAAAGATTGAGTTTACATCCTGGTGCTTCTAAGGAAGATTTATTTGAGAAGAAGAAAGTAAGTTTCTTCTTATGGAGACACCAAAAGAAAGGCTCATAAAAATTCCCTGAAAAGTTCATTGGAAGCAGCTGTCCTGACCTCGCTCTTGTCTTTTCAGATTGAGATGGCACAGAAACTATTGAACTCTGACCTGGGTGAGCTCATCAACAAGATGAAGCTGGCCCAGCAGTATGTCATGACCAGCCTGCAGCAGGAGTACAAGAAGCAAATGCTGACTGCTGCTCACGCTCTGGCTGTGGACGCCAAAAACTTACTCGACGTCATTGACCAAGCGAGACTGAAAATGCTGGGGCAGGCAAGACCGCACTGAGCCCCCTGAGGAGCAGCACGTCTTTCCCCTCCTTTCAGGATGTTCTCCAGCCTTCCACCAGCAGCGAGGAGTTAACCCTGGGTCCTCAGTCGCCAGCACTTACAGCTCCAACTTTTTCAAATGGCATCTGGTTGAAAATCTTCTCCCTCATATATAAATCTAACCACATTTTGATTTGGGTTTGTTTTTGTTTGTTTGATTTTCAATCATGATATTCAGAAATGTCTGGGATCCAAAATATGGCATTTTTCTGAGAATCAAAATTGTATATAAGAAGCCTAAGAATCATGGAGAACATTTATGTTCACATTAGGGTGTGTTCTAATGGGGACGGCTGAGGTGACATGCTGGTTCCTGAACTTGCTTAGCTGCGTGGTGGACAAGGAGGGCAGAAGTGAAGAATTCTGGGAAACCCAAGAGGCTGAGAGTTCTTTTGCCTACCATAGAATTACCCAGACTGGAACTTTTGTTTATTAGAACACCCTTCAGTTGCAATATGCTAATTCCACTTTACAAAGAAAGGATATAAAAGCTATATTTTGAAGACTTGAGTCATTTCAGAAAAAAACTGCAACCCTTTCTGTCTTTCCTGCCTTGTACTTTCATGTGGACATGTGAAGCATTCGGTTGGGAACTAGCTGTAGAACACAACTAAAAACTCTTGTCTTTTTTCACCAGAATAATGTGCCAGTTTTTTGTAGCAATGTTATTTCTCTTGGAAGCAGAAATGCTTTGTACCAGCGCACCTCCAAACTGCATTAAGAAGAAGTTCCAGAACCATCCCTGTTCCCCATTTTTATATAATTTATAAAGAAAAATTAAAGCCATGTTGACTATTTTACAGCCACTGGAGTTAACTAACCCTTCATTGTGTCTGTCTTCCCAGGAAAGAATTAAGCAAAACAGAGTGATTGGTTTTCTTTTTGATGTCCAGTTACACCATCCATTCTGTTAAATAATTTTGAAAAATACACCCTCCCTTTAGTTTGTTGGGGGATATAAATTATTCTCAGGAAGAATATAATGAACTGTACAGTTACTTTGACCTATTAAAAAGGTGTTACCAGTAAAGTTATTGCTGTAATATCCTTTCTTTTGGTTCTATTTCTTCAAATTATTTAAAAATTTTCAGGTGACTTGGCATGTAAAATAACATGTAGGAAAGCTCCCAATAATTATCAGGAATGCTCTCACTAATTTTTTTTTCTTTATCTTCTGAACAAGGGCAGAAGATAGGAAAAGTGATGCTCATCTATGAACGAATTCCCTTTGCAATCTTGGTATTCTAACAATCAGTCCAAACTCAAGGAATCCCTTCTTAGGCAGTTCACTTGTTAAGGGAATTGTTAGCATTGGTTACCCAGACCCACGCTAGTCTTGCTAAAATGTCTATAAGCTGTAGAGCCAGGAGCAGTTAGAACTGGTGTCTACATCAAAGGAGACAAGGAGAAATCCCAGGGACAGAGACCGCAGGCAGGTGGCAAGTTGAGGGAATGTCTTTCAGATAAATATATACTCCCATCTGCAAAATCAGTGCCATCTTTGGATTTATGACATTTAGTTTAGCTGAAGAAAATGTCAAGAGGATGTCATTCTTCTGAGTTTTCTCTTATTTTCTGGTGTTCTTAGGTCTCTTGAGTCTCAGTTTCCTCATCCTTAAAGTGGTGGTTGTGAGGACTAAAGAAGACAAGTGCAGTGTAAATGGTAAGGGGCTTTGGTGTGGGGACTGTCCTGTGCACTGCAAGCTGTGTAGCAGCATCCCTGGCCTCTGCCTGTAGAAACCAGCAGCACTCCCTCCGCAGCTGTGACAACCGTAAGATTCTCCAGGCATTGCCGTATGTCCCTGGGGGAAGTGGAGGTAGAATTGCCTCAAGTTGAGAACCACGCCTCAGAGTGACGGTTTAACCACAATTAATACACTTTGCCTTGTGACCTGCCCCTCAAGAGCAACAACTTTTCTCTAGTACGAAGAATTGCAGGTAAGTCTCACACCTTCCTGTAAACCAAAGAAAAAGAAATATATTTTGATTCTGAGCAGATAGAGGGACAGGTGTGTCAGAGCATGGGCCACAGGGCGAGGGCGGAGCTGACAACTCCGCATATGGCGAGGGAAGAGCACACACAGACTCGTGTATTTATTCTGACGTGAAAAGAGCCATAATTCTGATAAGCTCATACACGGATATTTACAAACATAGCATAATGCCACAAAATAACAATGTATATGTATAACAAATCCAACTTCTCTGCTCAAAGAGGGAAATACCAACCAGCTCCACGCAGTGGCCACTCGCCCATGGCTCCATGGCTCAGTGGCCTGAGGGCCTGTCAGGAGGACTGTGAGGTGACTTCTGTTATAAAGCAGAACGGGATTTCAAATCTAAAGACCTGGCCAAAAGTACACTTGAAACTAAAAGTTAACAAATTACTCAACTTCATTATTCTACCTTCCTGCTAGCTAGATCATACACCTGCCTGGCGCGGCAGACCACACCTGCTAGTAGATCACACACCTGCCTGGCGCGGCTGATCATGTGTGCAGGAGCAGGAAGGTGAACATGAGCCTGCTCAGCATCTTCCCTTCTGAATGTTTTTCATTTTTATTAAGAAGTAATTCATATAGATAAAAGGGCACATAAATGTAGAGCTCACCGAATTGTTCACAAAGGAACACCCTCTTGTAAGTAGGCACAGATTCAGAGACAGAATAGTACCATCAACCCAGAAGTTCCAGTGCCCTCCTACTACTCCCTCCAAAGGGCAACCACCGCCTTGGTTTTCTCTTACCAACTTTATTGAGATTTAATTTAATGTACAAACCATTGAACAGTTCAATGTTTTGTTTTGTTTTTTTCAAATGTAAGCTTCCAGTAGCCAGGAAGATGAGAACGTTGTCAGCCCTGGGACAGGCTCCCTCGAGCCCTTCAAGGGCCAATCCCACTCCCACTTGGGCCACCTCTGGTCTGGCCTCTTATTTTTTTTAACTTTTGGGGAGGTGGGAGGGTAGAGACAGGATCTTGCTGTTGCTCAGGCTGGTCCCAAACTCCTGAGCTCAAGCGATTCTCCCACCTCAGGCTCCCAGAGTGCTAGGATTACAGCTGTGAGCCACCTCGCCCAGCCTTGGTCTGTCCTCTTACTGCTATAGATGGCTTCTTACACTTCAGGTGCTTCTAGAACTGTGTCATGCGTGCTCTCATTTCTGACTCCTTTCATTCAAAATGATGTTGTTGGGGTTTTTTTGACAGAGTCTCATTCTGTTGCCCGGGCTAGAGTGCCATGGCATCAGCCTAGCTCACAGCAACCTCAAACTCCTGGGCTCAAGCGAGCCTTCTGCCTCAGCCTCCTGAGTAGCTGGGATAATAGGCATGTGCCATCATGCCCGGCTAATTTTTTCTATATATTTTTAGTTGACCAATTAATTTCTATTTTTAGTAGAGACGGGATCTCACTCTTACTCAGGCTGGTCTCAAACTGCTGACCTTACCCGATCCTACCACCTTGGCCTCTCAGAGTGCTAGGATGACAGGCGTGAGCCACTGCGCCTGGCCATCAAAATGATGTTCTTGAGTAGCCGTGTTGAATGTATCAGAAGTTCATTCTTTTTCATTTGTGATAATATCCCATGGGATAAATCTGTCATTGCCTGTTCTCCTATTTACCTGTTGATGAGTGGGGCATTAAATGGTTTTCAGTTTCTGGTTATTAAGAGCGAATATAACTGCTGTGGACATGTATTTGCAAATACATGTGTTCCTACTTCTCATGGGCAAGTAAACTATGAGTGAAATTTCTGGGACATATGGTAAGTATATGTTTAACTTTATTAAAAACTACCACACTTTCCAATGTGGATATCCATTTTGATGTATAAACATTCCAGTTGCTCCACATTCTCACCAATACTTGAGAAAAGTATTGCCAGTCTTTTATCATTTTAGACTGTCTAGTGGGTGTGTGTGCTATCTCATTTTGTGTTTTCTCAATATCCAGTGATGTCGAGCAACTCTTCTGTACTTATTAGCCATATATATGTTTCTTTTGTGAAACATCTCAAACATTTTGCCCTTTTTAAACATTGGGCTATTTTTATTACTGTGCAGCAGGAGTTCTTCAGGTATTCTGGACACTAGTCTTTTTTGTCAGATACTTGTTTTCCATATACTTACTCCCAACCTGGGGCTTGACTATTCATTTTTTTAACTGTCCCTCAGTGTATTTTATCTGAAAAGTTGGCAGAGGGATTGTAGTGATTGGGATTTCATTGAGGTTATAGATCAGTTTGGAAAGAACAGACATCTTAAAAACATTGAATCTTCAGAAACATGAACTTACCTTTTTTTTGAGACAGAATCTCACTCTGTCACCTTGGGTAGAGTGCTGTGGCATCATCATTACTCACTGTGACTTCAACTCCTGGGCTCAAGCAGTCGTCTTGCCTCAGCCTCCAGAGTAGGTGTGCTACCACACCTGGCTAATATATATATATATATATATATATATATATTTTTTTTTTTTTTAGAGATGGGTCTTGCTATGTTGCCCAGACTGAGGTCTTGAACTCCTGGCCTCAAGCGATCCTTCTGCCTAGGCCTTACAAAGTGCTAGGATTACAGGCATAAGCCACTGTGCCTGGCCTTGTTTAAAACTTTTGAATCTGACCTTAATTTTTCTTACTGCATTGACAACAAAGTGAAACAATAGTCACCTAGGTATTTTATCCCCAGGGGAAAGACTTTCTTTAAATTTGCCCAAATGCTTTTTAGGCATTAACTTAAAAAAATAATAATAAAAATAAAAAGCTTTTATTCTTACAAAAGAAGGAATTGTTATTATTGAAGAAAATTAGAAAACACAAGTCAAAAGAATTTTCAAGTGAAAGACTGAAAGCCTTTGCTCTAAGATCAGGAACAAGACCACCACACCACTTTACCTCTGCTCTTGTATACACTCCTGAAGAGAGCGAGTAGGTGAGAAAACAGATCAAAGGCACCCAGATTAGAAAGAAGTAAAACTCTATTCACAGATGACATAATCTTACATGTAGAAAATCCTGAAGAATTCACAAAAAAACTGTTAGTGCATTTAGCAAATGGATAAGCACTGATATAGTCATACAGGGGAATATTATTCAGCCATAAACAGGAATGAAGCATTGACACATGCTACAACATGGACAAACCTCGAACACGTTACCCTAAGTGAAGACGAAGCCAGACACAAAAGGCCACATACTGTACAATTGCATTTATAAAAAATGTCCAGCAAATCCATAGAGACAGGACACAGACTGCTGGTTGCCAAGGGATGGGGGGGGTGACAGTGACTGCTTAATGGATCTGGGTTTCCATTTGGGATGATGAAAAGTTCTAGAGCTAGATAATGATGGCTGTTGAACAACATTGCAAACGTGTTTGGTGCCACTCAATTGTACACTTGAAGGTGGTAAGTTTTATATGTATTTTAGCAAAATAAAAAAAAATTAATTAAAATTAACTTTTCCAGTTTCTTAGGGACCTTTTTCTGGGCATGTGTATGTACATTTTTTTTAACCAAAATTCTGTGATATGTCTGTCTTGTATGTTGTTTTATAGCCTGCTGCTTTCAGGTGGTGACCTCCAACTTTCCACCCTGTCAGTTTTCATTATTCTGTATCCAAGCCCACACTTCCTTTTCACCAGTCGGCCTCAAAGGATGTTCCTTTTAGCCAGTTTACCAACCAGGGTTCATCTCAGACCCACGCATGACGCAGGCTGCTGTTCTGTAAGAGCTGGTCACAGTAGCACAGGGCTGGCTTGACTTCTTTATGCCTGTGGCACGTGAAGAGGCTTACCCGTTGCCCAGCGGAAGTTCCAGCTTCCGTTTGCTTACTTCCTTGTAGTGACACTTAGGTTTAGGTTATCCTTTTGGTTTGTTTGCTTTTCTTAGAGACAGAGTCTCGCTCTGTTGCCCAGGCTGGGGGGCAGTGGTACGATCACAGCTCACTGCAGCCTCCAACTCCTGGACTCAACCCATCCTCTCGCCTCAGCCTCCCGAGTATTGGGACTGCAGGCATGTGCCACCACACCTGGCTAATTTTTTATTTCTTTGTAGAGACAGGGTCTATGTTTCTCAGGCTATTCTTGAGCTCCTGGTCTCAAGCAGTCCTTCTGCCTGGCCCCCCAAAGTGCTAAGATTACAGGCGTGAGCCACGGTGCCCAGCCAGGTTGTCCTTTTACTATTTCCTGGAAGTGCTATATGAAAGCTTGAGGGATCTAGGTGAAGCACTTTTGTCGAGAAGGCCTCGTGGGAGATGTGCACTTCTGATGCAGACAGCAAAGATGCAAATCTGGTGCCCCAGTCCAGTGATGCTGGGACCGACCCTGGACAAGGGAGATCATGAGATCCCTCCATGCTCAGTTGTGTTTTCCCCTTTTGACTAGAAAGTAATCTGTGGGGTGTCCAGACACTAACTTTTGAAAGAGTCTTCTCTCAACACCGACAAGTACCTGGAATACAATTGCTCATCCTCGCTGGTCATTGAGCATTTTGAAGAAAATGGCAAATCACAAACCACATTTTCACATATAACTTCCTTACATGGTTTTCAGCCTTCTAACCAGCTGTTCTGATTCTAGAAAATGAACCAAAACTAGTCGTAGATGAGAGAGTAGAAGTTAATCTTTAAGGATGAAATTAGGAAAACTTCAGACGTAGCAGTGATGCTATTTTCGTTCTTCCTTTTCTTTTTGAGTAAAGAAAAAAAAAAAGATACCATCACAGCTTCCTGGGTGTAACTTCAGGCAGGTGTAACCACTTTATATTTTAGACTAAAATTATTATACTAGAGTGAATGACACACAGAGGGGAGTGAGAGCAGCTGTCGGCAGTGGGCCCCTTCCCTGGAGGGGGAGCATTGATCTGCAACAGAAGCACCGTCCCAGGCAGCTGACCCCCAGAGAGGGCATGAGGTATGACTTCAGGACCGTGCCTGGGACAAAAGGTAGTTCCAGCTTTCTG